AACAGCTACACAGGTATCATGAAATCACCACAGTCCAGCAACAGAAAGAACATCCACAGCTAACGAAATTGTCTCCTGAAAGCCAAGAGTCCAAACTGTTTTTAAAAAGATGACCTTGATATGCTTATGCATGAGGTAGAAAGGGGTAACTAGTGGAGACAAAATAAGAAACTTATGGCAGGATTCCCCCAGCACCCAGCTTGCCAGTTCCCCCTTCAGAAGGGAGTAAGAGCACTGGCTGGGCTCTGGCTGATCCCAGAAGAGTGTGTGTGCATGTGTAGTGCAGACACAATTCTTTCACTGCATTTCTATCTGTGATTATTTTTCTTTTATTTTCAAAGAGACTTGCAGGGGTCTTTGTATTTCTTTGAGTTGTTACACAGACCAGAGCACATCAAAGCCATAGTCATCTAAAACAACTGCCATACTTGGGACTGAGGACTCTTCTTTCACCATATACAGGTCACCATCAAATCACAGAATCATCAAGATTGGAAGAGACCTTTAAGATCATCAAGTCCAACCACCAACTGCCACTGTAACCCCTAAACCACTACACCACATCATCCAGTGCCAGATCCAGACATCTCTGGAACACATCCAGGTATGTGACTCCACCACCTCTTGGGCAACTATTCCAGTGCCTGGTCACTCAAACAGTGAAAACATTTATTCTAATATCTAATCTGAATCTCCCCTGTCTCAGCTTGAGGCCATTTTCTCTGGTCCTCTCACTGCAGACATGGCAGAAGAGACCAGCCCCCATCTCACCACAACCTCTTTTCAGGAAGAGCCTCCTCTTCTCAAGACTAAACAAACCCAGCTCCCTCAGCCCTTCCTCATAACACATGTTTCCTAAACCTTTCACAAGCCTTGTTGCCTTTTGCTGGAACGTCCAGTATCTCCATGTCCTTTTTAAAGTGAGAGGCCTTGTTCATCTGAAGCACAGGGCAAAAGTACTTCACAGGATCACTCTGGAGTTCTGTTCACAATTACCATTTCTGCAACATCCAAAGCACTGGGAGTAGCCTCTGCATCACAAGCTGGAATTTTATACTTTAGCTATAGGTAGAAACTTGGAAGAAAATAAAAATATTGCTGTGAGCCTGCTGCAAATGCAGAAGATGCCAGAACCCACAGGGAATGGGGACACCTGGGTTAGCCATGCTGGGGACCTCTCTGGGTCTCAAAGACTCAGGACATGCCAGCACAGGATTATTCTGAGAACATGAACACTGGGCAGTCTGAGCTCTGCTGCCACAGTATCACTCAGATTTGAGAGGGAAACCCAACATAAACCTTCCCAGAAAGCTTATATTTACTAAATGGAAATCACACTGTGGACAAGCAGGTCCTGGACTGTATCCCACGTGCTGTGAGAGCAGCACAGTGCCCTGGCACAGTGCAGGCTGCAGGTCAGACCTTTGGCAGCTCAGTGATGAAGCAGGTTCCCTGCTGCCAGTTCAGTTCCAGGCTCCTGTTCAAGTCAGCCCTGACTAAGGCCTGTCTATATTAAAGCAAACGACCAGGACAGAAATGTTCCAGGGCTTTGCTGAAATAAATCCTGGATTCACTCATTCTTCATCTACCGTATTTCTGTAGGGCAGGAAAAAAGCAGCCGACCTGACAAATCAGACTTGGAATTTCTTCAAGTCACAGAAGATCCCAAATCATGTCCCTGATAGGGAAGCCAGGCAAACCCTCCTACCCAACCATACACACGTGGGCCACAGACCAACTCCCAGCACTCCTGTCTCAACCTTTGCCACTCGCTGAGAAGAGCCTTCTCCCGTTTGCTCAGCTGCAATCCTCATCAGCGGGATCAGCAGGGATTCATGGCCAGTCTTCGCGAGCGAAGGTCTCTACCCATGTTTGCTACAAGCGCGCTGGTGATCCAGGGCTTTGCAAATGCAGTAAGGCCTTCGAGCCTGCGCAATGGATTTTTTAGGTGAGACACAGCATGTGCTGAACTGAGCCCACCCTTTAATCCTAAGGTTCATCTGCCGGGGCCAAGCAAGCTTGGACTGTGGCAGCGAGGTCCTCAGGACGTAGGTTTGTTTAGAGTGACCTTCTCTTAGATGGATGGCCTCACAGGGCTAACGAGCTCCATCTGCCCGGGTTTAGAGTTGTCCTTCTCTTGTGTGTGATCCGGCTTCCCCTCTCATCTCCCATGATGGCACTGTCCGCACAGGTGAAGCTCCCATTCTCTTGCTCCTTTCCGTGACCAGGGCCGGGCCCCAGCGACCGGGGCCGGGTCACACTGCACACGCGACTGGGGCCGGCCCCGGGATCAGCAGGGATAAACCCATGGGAACAGGCCAGAGAATAAATTCTTATTCCCAGCCCAGAGGATATCTAGCACTGATAGAGAGTGGCAATGCTTCCCAGGAAGAGTATCTGGCCACCACTCTGGTGAAACCAGCTGGGGGGATAAGCTCCAGGATATTACTCCAATTCTCCTCAAAAAGAAATAAACTAATTAGAAATACATTTTAAAATAGATTTTGGATTTCCAGGAGAATGCTGGCAGGCTTGTTCAGATATTCCACAACATGTGGTCCCAGAGCAGAAAGAGTTCAACTGCCAAGCTGCTGCCTAAAGCAGCACATCTCCAAACCTTTACATCCAACCTTTTCTTCTTCCAATAGAAGTCTGAGCTCATTCACAATTCTTTTGTGTAAACTTGCATGCAAACTTACACCACAGTGTCACACTTTCTAGTGACAACAGTTGGACTATATACTAGATCTGAAAGCAGAGAGCTGACCTCTACTTTTCCCCAAATCACAAAGGAAACCAGCTTTAAAACACTCCAGTTTCTGACTGATCTCACTAACCCAAGGCAAAAAGGACTTTGGAGGATGGACCAAACCTCCTCAACTCTGGGCTACAAGTCTTGGCCAGCATTATACAGAGCCATCCTGACCATCCTCCCCCTTCCTACCCTGTGTCTGTCCAGGTTTCTGAGTATGACAAGAGGAAAGAAGAGGACATCAAAGGTAGGATGAGGTTTCCAGTGTTTGACACAAGCCCAGGTCCTGAATTGACATCATTCAGGAGGGGAACTGGTCTTACAGGAAAACTCAGACATGGTCCCATCGCTCCCCAGAAGGGATTTCCAAATGCAATGCTTTTATCTTGGTCCACAACCCCTCCCAGGTCAAACAACACAGCCATATGTTTTTAAGAGAAACTGTTTTATCTCTGTCCACAAACCTCTTGAAAGTACAAACACTTTGCTCTCTGGTCCAAAAGCAAAGTGATGGCTAATTCAGTTCAGAGAATTAGGTCCAAAGCAAACCCTTTTGGTCCACAGAAAAAAATAAGCCTAGACAAAAACAGATAAAGGATAAACTCCCATTCAGCTCAGCTGTCTGCTCCCAACAGCTGTCCTCCTTACGCCACAGGGCATCTCCTGAAGCACCTCAGAAAGATCAAATAAATTATTCAAAACATAGACTAATTCCTGGCGCTTGGACTCTTTGTTCGCTCCAGGACCAGCAGAGCTGTCTGCTTCCTGGAGGGCTGGCCCCGCCTCCAGTAAAGGGCAAACACAGAGGCTTCGATTTGCACAAGAGGAAATCAATTTAGCAGCTAATAAATACACAATTTGTGCAATACATATACTCACTTCTCCCTTGATGCTCATGCAGAAGTTAATGGGTCGTACCCTGCTAAGCACCGTCACTGCACTCTCCATGTGCACAGCAGCTCAGCTCACCTGAGAGGAGAACCAGCTCAGCCCACCTGAGAGGAGAGCTGGGAGGGAGACAGGCAGCAGATGCTTGGCAGTACCATGTTGTACTTCCTCACTAATAGCAATTAGAAGAGATCCAGCCACAGAGGGCTACAGCCTGAGGAGTCAAGGTCACACATTTTGGAAGATGCTCTGCAGCATCACATGATGCTCCTGATGCAAATCCAGGCCAACAATATCTCCCAGGCTCCATGCAGGATCTGTGCAGGCATGGAGCAGGCACTCAGCAGGGTTGCAGAGAGCTCCAGTGGGACCTGTGTTTGCCGAGTCTGATCTCTGAAATAGTCACAGACCATGCACAGGAACTTAAACAAACCTATGGCATCTGATAAAAATTGCAGTTGCACCTTTCCACCTAATCATAAGGAGGCACAGACATATTGCACCTGCAGGACTAATTTTGAAGAAACATCCACCTAAGCAGACCAAAAAACGCACATCATGGAGATCTTCAAGATCTAAAGCTTCCCCTGAAACAAAAGAAATCCCAGTAAGATTGCAGATGCCCATAAGAACCAGATGAACCTAACCCAAAATAAAGTGAAATGGAAAGTTTAGAACCAAAGTCAGTGCCACAGCCTGTTCAGAATGATGACTCCCGAATGCTAAGGCTGACACAAAGTTTTATTGCTGTGGCTGAGGCAGCTCAACTGCTGAGGCAGAGCAAGTCTTCAATTCTCCCTGCCTCCCTTATCATCATTTCTAAATGTATTTGGCTGCCAGAGTTTATCAGTCTTCTTTCATATCCTTTGGCTTATAACACTTCCCTGCTGTCCTCTGGGTGCTCTGGGTTTACCATATTAAATCACAGAAAGTTCAAGTCTCTCCCACTGCAAATCTCCCTTCGACTTCAGGAAGGGTCTCGGGAAAAAGACCAATTCACTAAGGCACAGTTCCCAAGAGGTAAAAACACTGGGATTAAAAGCAAAAAGGAAGCTAATGAGCCCCAATTGGGTGCTCTTCTACCTGTAAAGGTCAACGTACACCAGAGAGCTGCTTCTTGCACCCACAGCTTCTCAGCCCAATGCAACTGGGGAAATCTGCTTCACCCCTGACAGGCAAAAATACGCACAAAAAAACCCAAAAACCAAACAAAAACCCAGAAGCCAGATGAACTACTCGAGCCCACCCCCACACAAAAGATTGAAAACAGCATCTGGGGAGGCTGCACAAATTATTTTGGCAGTGGCACAGCAGCTCCTCAGTGAGTCAGAAGCATCAGGCTGTCCCGGGCAGTGCACACCTCTGCCCTGCCAGCAACGCCAGCTATGAGGGCTGGCTGACACAGTGTCAGCACCCAAGGGAGCCTGCAAGGGGACCAACTGACTCGGGCTTAGATCAGCTTAGCAGGCACAGGATTTAGGATAAGCATGCACCCCTATGCCATACCGGCACGGTTTGACAAGTGATAGAGTCAAGTCACCAGGTTCTCCACCTGCCTCCAAGAAGGTGGGTTTCCTCCCTCCTGCCACCCCCAGCAGCATCATCCTGCCCCCTTCCCGCTCTGCAGCTCAGGAAGCTGTGCCCCTACAAGGGGAGGGCAGGTCCTGAGCTGGGACTGCTCACGGAGCCAGGGGACAAACATGGCCCCAAGAAGGGAGATGCCTTCAAGGTGAACAGAGGGGTTGCCTATGTTAAAAATATATGTATGGAAAAGGTACATCTGTACCAGCACTTGCAGTCAGTTCAAATTTGGAAGCACAGGAGCACCCCTTCGAGAGGCTGCCACACCACACATGGTGTCACCTGCAGTGGCAGTTTTCCAAGCATCTTGTACACAGTTTATGTAAGTCCACCTAGCAAACCTCAGCAAGAGACCTGTAACAGAGATAACTTGTCCAACAACTCAGCAGCAGTACAAGGAGGTAGGGTGGGGGTAGAAAACAGAGTGCAGAGTCACAGCAAAAATTACTTTGTCTTGTTCAGACAATCAGAAGAACCACAAGTGAAAACCAAAGAGGGCTCCAAGGCTGCATAAATCCTTCCTGCCATCCCAGGAGAATGAGATGAAACCCACTCTCCCTGCAATTTCATGCTTTATGGACAATGACTTAACCCCTTGGCACCTTCAGGATAACTCAGCACTTTCCTTCTCATTGATTTTGATAATCAAATATTTTAATATTTTAAAAGCCCCTGAACACCCAAGTGAGTGCCAACTGCGAGGGGTGAGCCTCACACTCCTGTTCTGACATCCTCCAAACACAAGAGTTGGTGTCACCAGAGGGGCATGTGTAGATGGAGAGATAAGAACCATGTAATAGCTATTCCACTCTTAGCCCAGCACAGGCACAGTATCCAAGTTATCTACGAGCTGAGCCAAAGAAACACAGGTGAAGTGTCTCTCACCAAGGATTTACCATGAGTAACTAGTACACAGTAACTAATCCAGCTATAGCAACACACCTTTTTGAAAGGAAGACCTTTTTCCCTGCTCAACGGGCACTGCACTATCATTTAACCATGGCTCACACATCCCTTCTGCAATCAAACAAGTCCACAACATGAAAAGAAACCTGAGTACCCAGAAGACAGACAAAAGCCGTTTGCAGGGAATGCCAGCAGCCTGGAATAACACCGGGCAAGATTCACATTACTGAGGGCATTGGACAAGGGAGCAGCAGCGGAACTGCACAGGGAGAACCAAAAAACAGAAGCCGACCAAACCTGTATAAAAACAGCTTAAAAAATTAATAACTACTGGCCCAATTGACTTAAAGACACAAATTCTTCTGAAGTGGTGTCTCCTTAGAGGGACTCGATTTCTCATTGCAGAAGAGATGTTACAGTCCAATAACCATAAATGACCAGGATCAACACAGGAATACCCAAAACATTTTTTCATCTCTCCAAAGCCAGCAGACAGACTGTACAATAATAATAATCCATCCTGACTAGAATATCTATGAAAAAGCCATACCCCAAGGTGACGCCTCCTGAACAACAATGAAAAGGTTCAGCCCCAAAATCAGGCAGGTTCTCCTCTGCCTGCTGCTGCAGCACAGCAATCCCCACCTCGAGTGGATGCTGCTGTCTCAGCATGTGCAACAAGGCAAGGCAAGGGCAACGCTCACATCCACATCTAAGGAGGTATTTGAATACAATGCAGCCTATTTTAAATAAGGTATACGAGAGTTGGGAACATCACCAGCACCTTTCCAAAGCTGCTCCAGATCAGTGCACTCCAGCCTTTGTGAGAGGATGCCAGAAGCATCATATCCATTCAGAGATTTTAATTTCTTTAAACATCACTTCAGTGAAGCCTGGATAGATATTTCCTGCAGGCTGCTACCCCATGGGGCAGAGCACTACACAAACTCTTCCCCTCATGCAGTTTTCCTTTCCAGTCTCCACAGGCTAGAACAGCCCTTCCTCCATTGGGAAGCAGACCCTCACTTTTAGTTTCACATAAAATCTTATCAAACCTAAATCCAACAGAAGACACCTGACTTCAAAACAGTGATCATGTACATTCCAGCTATACAACACTAACAAGGTGTTTATGTGTGTTTGATACATGCAGAGCTTGATGTGGTTACACAAGATTCCTGTAAGCAATGCTTCATTTAATTTGGGGGACTTCTCAACAACATCAATTTTAGAAAGTACACATTCTGACCTTTTTTTGTTTCCTCTCAAAATGCATCTTTCTCTTACAGGATGACCCCCACTTTGATGAGCAACAGTGTGACTTCCACGCCTCTTGGCTTCCTCAAATCAGCACAAAATAACTGAAAAGGCCTCCCAGGTCTGAGGAGACTAATTAGTACTTTTGGGCTGCCCCTCTAGCAGGAAAACAGGCAGATCAAGAATATCAGTTGATTACAATTAAACCAAAATAGAAAGCCAAAATGCCAAACACATGCTCACGTGCCGCCAAGACTCAAACACAAAGCAGACATAGCCACGGGATCCATAAAGGAATAAACTGGGGGCAAAAATGAACTGAAATACATTGGTTTGCTCACCACACAACTATCTTTACCTTCCATAACAAATGCAAATGTGTCCAAGTAGACACACACCCAATAATCTGCCAGCGTCAGCCTGCACCAGTGCTGTCTGCTAACACATACGGGTTTGATAATCCCACTGAGGGCAAGAGGAAGTGCAGGCACCCTCTGATTTTATTCAATCAGTTCCAATCTGCTGAAGACACAACTCACTTGGCCTATATTAGCATAAGAACAGGTAATTAATACACAGGGACAGATAATGCTTATTTTACTACCTACTGAGGATAGGGGTTAATTCTTCTCTCCAGTTCCCTCTTTTCTATCTTGTTCTTTTCCGTCTTCCTTGTTTTCATATCTACATCATACATTTCATTTTACCTGGCCATCCACACGCTGCTTCATACCTAACCTGCTGCTCCTTCACAACCCCTGCACCTTCCCACTCACTTCTTGCTCCTCAAATTCCCCTCTGAGGTTCCCTAAGCAAACTGCCATGTTTACATTGCTGACTACTCTCACTTTCTCCACCCACCCTGCCCCTCTGCTCAGAGAGGCAAGTCCCCCAGCCAACCTTTTGACAGTGCCCACCCTGTATCCCAGAGGATCCAATATCTCACTTCTCTCCTCCTGCCAGACCTGGGTCCACCTTCTGCAGTGGGGAGGGGAGCTGCTCCAGTCACTCAATGCATTCACCAAAGCAGCACTACAGCAGCGGAGGACACAGGAATCATGGCATCTCTTAGTGAATTCCTGTACCAAGGATCACTCTAGTCATAATGATGCCTACAAATGGTTTAAAGAAATATTCTGCTTCCCCCAGCACTGCTGCAGGAGCCATAACCACCCCACTGGCACGGTTACACACCCACACCAAACCCACCTGACTGGGAGACTGACAAAGTCCATCGCAGTGCTCACCAGTTCCGTCACCCACCACACACGAACAACTCCCAAGCCTTAAAAAGCCTCCCAGCAGCTCTTTTCCATCAGGAAGAGAAAGGTACAGGGCACAGCTTCCTCATAAACAGGCAGAAACTGATCACCTAACTCCAGTAAGTCACTGATGTTCTGAATGGCACCCAAGGGTGAAACGGAATCCAGTTCATCTCCTCATGCCCTTCTTGGCAACCTCCCTGCCCAGGCTCCTTCCCTCATATCCACAGAGGACTCTCTCACCAGAGAAAGACCTCTGATTTTTGCTTATAACAGAAACGTTATGGCTGAAGCCAGGTACAGAGGGCAAAGACATCAAGGAGGGAACAGACAGGACCACAGACACATGTGAAGGGAACTGAGAATCCTGAATTCCAGTTGAACGGGTCAGGAATTCCCACCCAACACAACTGAGCCATCATGTACACTCTGAGAAGTACACATACAGTTGTTCTGCTTGGCTTTTGAGAGACACCAGAGCACACCATGCAGCAAGGATCTGGAGAAGTCCCAGTTGCCTCTAGTCTTCCCCAACGCCCAATGTAGAAGTTAAGTCCGTAACAACTGTTTGGCACTGAAGTTAGGATGAGTGACTCCACAGGTTGTAATTAGAATCAAAATTCTCCCTATGCCTTGAAATTAATTACATTTTTAGATTTCATACCATCATTCTTCAAATGATCATTTTTTTCATAATGTGAGCAGTAAAGACTATTACTAATTTTGGCAATGAAACACAAAATTGCTCCAGTTACAGTTTGAGCGTTGTTTTTTTCTTAAATCACTGTCAAAGCATGGTATCCTATTTCCCACAGAATCTGTTTTCTCCCCAAAACATCCAGGACACTAAATATTCAGAACTGTTCCCAAACTTCAACATTACGCAAGTAAGAAGGACAACAACTCTTTGCACCAGCAGTCACCGGCGTCCAGACAGACTCCAGTGTGCATGCAATAAACATTAAAAAAATTATGGATTAGGATCTATTTTAACACTTAGAATTCCAGCTCTCCTTTGCCTCTTAGCTGTGCCTTGAACACAGCACCATGAACTGCACTGGCCGGCAGACCCTTTGGGAAGAAATGAAGCTCCAGGTCCTTTGGCATGGGCAGCAAATGCAGGCTGCCAAGAGAAGATGTGAGCATGAAGCCGGGGCACACAGAACACTAAGGGCAAGAAGACCTGAAGCAACCCCTTGCTTGATCATGAGGGCCTGAGGACCGTGGCTGCACTGTGAGCCCAGCACGAGGACAGCACAGTGTCCCCTCATCTCCATATGGTCACCTCCACATGGAGGACTTTAGTCTGTGTGCATCAAAAATGCTGTAGGATATCAAATTAAAAACAAAACAAGGTGGCCTGTAGAGACCTTCTGGATCCACTGCCCTAGCCCCAGACATCAATGTGATGGGCCTCAATTGCCACGAAGACTTCTCACCTGTACCACCACCCTCCAACTATCCCCCAGCCCTGCCGAACATCCTGACAGCAGATCCCCCTTATGAAACTGCCAGCCCTCACAGCAAAACAGAACTCCCTGCAAGGGTCTCTCACCTTAGTTCAGCTTGCCCAAGCACACGTCCTGTGGGCAGGCTCTCCAAATGCAGCAGATTGCTGTCCAGAGGAGCACTGCCACCGCCCCTTGGCGTGGGAGTTGTCCCACTCTCTCCCGCTCCCAACATCCCTCACAGCACCAGTTGCACAAGCCAGGTCAGAGTGTTTCTGGCTGAAAATTAACTGAGCAAAACTTTTTTTTTTAAATATAATTACTTGTTTCCAGCTTAATGACTTCCCTGCTCCACCTCGCCATGCTGTTTAAGCCAATTAAATCGACACTGACGCAGTCCTACCTACTCTTCTCCCCACCCAGCAGCGCATTCCTGCACCTCCCCTGCTCCCATGCCTGCCCAGCCCCACTACAAGCACACACTGGGCATCCCAACTGCGGAACACTCGACACTTTTGGGGGCTTCGCTTTGTTCAGGTCAGCTTGCCTTGGCATCAGCAAGGATATGTGCTGTGGGCAAGGCCACAGAGCACCTCAGAGGGCAGCCAGACCTGCCCCAGCAGCCTGCAGACCACCTGCAGGATGTCCAGCGCCTTCCCATCCCGCCCACAGACCACAGATGGCATGGCAACAGAGGGATCTCTGTCCTCCTGGGATGGAGTTTCTTGCAGGTTCCAAGAACCATCACCACCACAGCAACCTGCTGCTCCAGAGCGCTCCCAGGATCCTACACTCCAGTCCTCCTAGGCACCTAAACACTCATCTGTTGCCTTAGGAAAAACCACCCCAACACTGGCCTTCACTTGGGTATCATCATGATGGCCTGTTGTCCTGAGTCAATATTTAAACAGCCACTTAAACCAGATACAACAGAACCAACTGCCCTTCCTCCACCTGGAGAGAGGGTGCAGATGATCCACCACCACAAGCTCACAGGGCATCACAGGTTCTGAGATCACAGTGCAAATCCAACCCTCAGCCCTGGAGACACAGGGGATTCAGAGGAACAACTCAAATAAGAAAAATGGGTCAGGTGGAAACACAAGGGGCAACAAGAAGGGTTTTAGCTACCCTGCAACAAGGCTAGTTGTTGTTTAGTCACAACAGCTTTAGTATATCATGGTCAAGTTTTTAACATGTGCATTTAATTCACAAGGTCTGGGATTCTGTTTTTTGAAAGGTGGATAGTACTACCTTGACAAGGCCCAGTGGGTACCCAATCCTTCGCACAGGGGAAGCTACAAACAGCCAAAATTCACCTTTTTATTCTACATATACCAAACTCTTCAGTTTAACCATCAGTTCTCTGCCCAAAGAAGTCCCCATCAGTTTCAGCACAGACCGTCCTAGAGAGAACAGAACGTGGACTATAGCAAACAACTGTGACAAACATTATTTGCTGACAGTACCTGCACCTCTGTCACAAAGAGAGCAACCTTTCCTTCTTCCTGTTCCCAAAACAGGTCAAACAGCTTTTTAGTATTACCACTACTGTATTTAATTTGAAAAAAACCAAACCAGCACTGTGCCACTTCAGCCTAACAAGGACTAAAATGCTGCTCAAGCAGAGAGTATTTTCCAGTGATCTAACTTTAAAGAAGAAACTCAAAGAGTGTTTGCCGAGGCCTTTCTAAAAAATAAATATCCACCGTTTTTGTAAGGCTGCTCAACCATCAACAAGTGCCGGTGGGAACCAACATGACCCTGCTGCAGCACTGTAAATTTCCATCCGAAGGGAACAAAACTGAACCGCAAGTTCACGCTAAGCTGATTTTACTTAAACATCTGCCTTGAGGAGAGCACACTCCGGAGGCGAGGGCCCGGGCGCCCGCGATGGCCGAGCAGAGCCGCCCCGCCGCAGCCCCGGCCCGGCCGCTCCGCGGGGCTCGGCAGGCACGGCCCCGGGACGCTGCTGCTGC